GCCAGTGCACGCCTGCCTTGGGACCCCGCCTGCGTCTTCGCCTCGCTCCGGGCTGCCGCGGTCCTGACGGACGACCACACCCATGCCGGTGCTCCCAAACTCCGGAAGCTGACACTCCCGGTCCCGGGAAGGCCTCACTGTCCACTGAATTCGAACACTTCTCCCTGGCAGTACGAATGAGTTCTATGGCTATTCTAATTTTAAATGAAATAAATTTCCGATTCATTAATAACTTGGTGCAGCAGTCCCTGGCAACAGGGACCTCTTAAATGCCCCTGGGGCCCACTCATTCATTCAACAAATATTTGCCTGGAATCTTCTATGTGCTGGGCAGCGTGCTGGAGACAGGGTTGTGGTGATAAACAAGGATGCCCGGGTCCCAGGTCTCCTAAGCTCATACTCCAGAGAGGGGACAGAGAGCAAAGAGGGAAACACGTGCGTGTGCGGACAGCTGGCGGAGCGAGTGGTGGAGAACGCTGGCGCGGAGCAGACGTCGCCGGCCGGGGGTCTCTGTGCAAGGAACAGAGCGAGACTCAGTGAGGCGAGGAAGGGAAAACCGCCCAGACTGGGGCGGTTTTGTCAAGCCACTGGCTTGACATGGGCTAAGCATAGAGGCAAGACCAATGTGCTGGAACACAATAGGGAAGAGCGCAATGGAAGATGAGCTCAGAGGGACAGGAGAGTGGCATCCGCGGGCTGTAGGGGCCACAGGGCAGAGTCCTGTGCTAACAGGAAGGGCGGCCTTGGGGTCTGGGGGGGGGCACAATCACGGTCTGTCTGGCGGCTGTGTGGTCAAACAACCGTGGTGGGGAAGGGGCGGAAGCTGGCAGTTGACTGGGGGACTGGTCTTGTAGGGAAATGATGGCTCTTGGAACCAGAGTGGAGGCGAGGATGGAAGTATAAGAATATACATGATTCTGTCCTGGGGGAGAGAGGATGGACCAGAGGCTCTCCCTGTTCCCTTCCAGCCCCGAGGTGTTGCTAGTTTAGGTTTGACAGCTCTAAGACCTTATGATTTCAGGACTTCCGAGTTCAGGGCCTCATTCCCCAAGGTCAGGCCCAGTGGTCAGGCCAAGGTCAGGCCTGGCCGTGTGTCTGAGAGCAGCACCTACACGGTGCTGTCTCAAACCTCAAACCAGAGCCTCTCCTTGAAATAGACACATGGGTGTCCCGGTCTCAAATCTCAGGCTGCCACCTCAGTAGGCAAGAAGTACGTCTTTTTTTTTTTTTTTTTGAGACAGAGTCTCGCTTTGTTGCCCAGGCTAGAGTGAGTGCCGTGGCCTCAGCCTAGCTCACAGCAACCTCAAACTCCTGGGCTCAAGCGATCCTCCTGCCTCAGCCTCCTGAGTAGCTGGGACTACAGGCATGCGCCACCATGCCCGGCTCATTTTTTCTATATATATTAGTTGGCCAATGAATTTCTTTCTATTTTGAGTAGAGACAGGGTCTCACTCTTGCTCAGGCTGGTTTCGAACTCCTGACCTGGAGCAATCCGCCCGCCTCGGCCTCCCAGAGTGCTAGGATTACAGGCGTGAGCCACCGCGCCCGGCCGGGAAGTACGTCTTTACCCTTCATTTTCTTTTCCCTTCATTTTCTGAAGGCGGCAAGCATATTCTTCGAAATCATTGTCTTAAACCTGGACCTTGGGTTACGAGTCTGACTGATTGCCCTGGGATCATGGCGTGACTCCTGTCTCTCTCGAAGCCCGGCTGACCCCTGTGCCCTGCCCCAGTGGGAAGGGCCATGGAACGACAGGAAACACCAGCGACAGCACCCGGATTAGTTCCTGCAGAGATTCTCCCTCTATCTCAGTAGTGGTGCCAGCCCCTCGCCATCACCCCTGACCCACCGCTCAGGGACCGGGGAGGTATGGGTGCCCAGGCTTGCGAAGAAGCTGCTGGCACAGGCATCAGGCTGACCAGACTGTCCCACTCTGGATTTGGGATCGGGACGCAGGAGCAGCCTGGCTGGCTACTGGTGGGGAGAGAGACAGAACCCTACAGGCAGGCAGCAAGGCGGCAGCCGGGAGGCGCGCCCGTCGTGAAGACTGAAAGGGAAAAGCCACCAGCCCCTGTTGTGGCAGAAGAGCCTGGATACTCTGTCCCCACAGCCTGCTGGCTCCCAGGGGGGAACGACAGCCCTTCCTGGATGCCGAGAGATTCCTGTCCTTGAACTCATGGGGCTGTGTAGACATTCCCATCATTTGAGGCAGCCAGATTTTGTTTCCTTGACTCTAAAGGCCTCATATGGGCTGAATTATCACCTCGCCACCCCCAAATTTATATGTTGAAATCCTAACCCCAGGACTTCAGCATGTGACCTTATTTGTACATGAGGTTTTTAAAGAGCTAGTTAGGGTTAAATGAGGTCATTCGGTGGGCCCTTATCCAGGATGACTGGTGTCTATACAAGCAAAGGAAATCAGGACACAGACTGGGACAAAGGGACGTCCTCCACATGAGGATGCAGTAAGAGGGTGGCCAGCCACAAGCCAAAGGGAGAGGCCTCCAGAGAAATCCACCCTGCCATGCTTTGATCAGACTTCCAGCCTCCTGAACTGTGAGAAAAGGAAGCTCTGTGGTTTAAGCCACCCAGACTGTGGCATTTTGTTATGGCAGCAAGAGCAAGCTAACCCTTAGAGGTTTGTCCTGTGACCTTGTGGTCCAGGGAGAAGGGCTCAGAAGGCAGAATGAACCTTCCTTCCTGCCAGCTCTGGGGAGCTACTTTGGGAAACATGCCCCCCCCTTCCCGCATGGAACCCAGGCCCAGCTCCCCACCTTTATGCTGCGGTTTTCTTCCCAGCCACACCTGGGAGATTGCCTCCTTCATGCCCCTGAATTCAAATCCCCTTGGCCACACATCTTGTCCCCTGTCCCCAGGTTTCTCTGCAGTCATACGATCATCCCCCTTCTTGTAGCCTGATGTCCCAGAAGTGTCTCACCTCCAGCACTGGTTGTTCACAGGACGGCTTCGGGTGGTGTGCAGAGAAATATTTTCCAAGTGGAAAGTTAGGTATCGATTTTAATGTATAGTAGAAAAAAATAAAGCTGGGACACACATGAAACCTGTGATTTCAGGTATTATGGCTGAAGCAGAGTCTAGCATGGGTGTTAAAATGTACTGCACTGAGTAAATATTGACACGAGGGGTGCGGCAAAAATAAGGACAGTGGTGTGAGAATGGCCAAAATATTGGGGGCCAGAATTTTCCAATCAAGTGTTTGCAGCATTGATCTGCAGGAGAATGCCCCGGGGGGAGGTGCTGGGAGGCGCAGGCCCGTGAGTCAGCGGCGTGGAGGGGGCAGGAGAGGATTCTAGTCTACCCTGGCACCTCTATTACCTCCTCTCTAAACTGACCAGGAAAACCAGACCCCCAGTGTCTGCTGCATAAGGCTACAGTCTGCACGGAAAGCAGCTCGGGCTCGCAGAAAAGCCAGAAAGTCGCCCACGAACTCACGCTATTGTGGGAGCTCTTGCTTCCAAATTAGTAGGCAGCATGGGTCCCACTCCCCAAACTCCCTGGCCTTGTTGGAGGCTAGCAACTCGAGCTGTGAAATGACTCGGTTCCCAGTTTATGATTAGACAAATGCGAGCCCTTACCTGAGCCCAGCCGCTGCGCAGCGCCCTGCAGGGAAACCCAGCTGTCCAGACAACAGACAGCCCCCACCGTGAAGCTGTAGGTGGCATCCAACCTCAGGCGCGGAATGCCTGAGACCTGGTCAGTGAGGAGACTGAGTGGCAATTGCAAATGTTCGGTCTGCTGGGGGACACGGACATTCAGGCCAGCGTGGAGGTGTGTGTCCCCAAACACAGGTGGAGTCACAGATGACACCCCAGCCAGCAGCCAGGTAGCGAGGCTAGAGCTGCCCCTCCCCTCCCTGTGTAGCTGGAAGGCACTCAGCTGCAAATGGCTCTGACTCTCATCTGACTGAGTTTTAGCTTGTTAGTTCTAAGGAGCCTTTAAAAAATTGAGTATTATGGGAAAGCGTGCAAATGTATGGGCCCTTTCTGATGTAACCGTGCATCTCCGGCTATATTCATCCAATGGCATTTAAGGCTCATTAAATTTTGAATCCCGTGTCACCTGCCTTAGGCTCAAAATAGTTCTCCTGTGCCTTTTGTCTCCCAACTCCATTTTAATGGAAATTGTTTCCATTCACCTCTCTGTTCCCTTCTCCCTGCTAGCAACACCCGCTCTTTAATAATCTCCAATATAGAATTATTCACTCCTCGAACCTGTCATTTGGGGGAACACGCTGGACCTTGACTGATGACAACAGATGACGGTAAAATGCTAGGAGCACTGTGAGAGTGTGCCCCGTTCCCGCGCCACTGTGCGTCGGGGCGCCACAGCACCCGCTCGCCCACTCGCCACATCCCACGGCTGGCGGCCCCAGCAGACTCGCCACCACACGGTCCCTGCTGTGTCTCACACAGGACAAGCAGCAGCCTTTAGTCACAATAAATAAATCTTACAGGGCACTAATGAGTGCCAGGCTCTGCTCTAAGTGCTTATCGCTGGGTGGTGGGGGACTATCCCCTTTTTATCCAGATAAAGAGACTGAAATACAGAGAAGTTAAGTAAATTGCCCAAAGTCACACAGCAACTAAACTGCAGAGCTTGGATTTGAACCCAGGCCATCTGAAGCCAGATGCCACACTCCTGCCGACTCTGCCGTGTGCACTCCCGGCCCCTCCTGCCAGTGGTCGCCACACAGGAATATCGGGCAGGTGTGTCCAGGTCTTCATAATTTTTCAGAGAAGTCAGAAATCTGAACTATGTGAAATGTCCCAATTTTTAAAACTAACAAGTAAAATCATTTTTTAATTCTATGAGGGCCAAACGAAATGTCTATGAGCAGGAACTGCTTTGTATGCCACCCAGGGGAGACCTGTGGTTTAAACTAACTGTAACGAAAACAAAGAGACCACCAAATTCAAACCCTTCTGCACCAATAAGAAACTTCCTTTGGCGCTGGGCAGAGCTAAACCTCGGGCAGAATTCATTCCTGGGATCCAGGCTGGGCACTCCGGAAGCCACTGTGCTTCGCAGAGCAGGCAGCTTCTCCGATGTGACCGTGAAGTCGCTTTAAAGAAAGGTTCAGGGAACTTGCTTTGTGGCCGGCGGAGGCCTGCCCTGCGAATGCAGCAAGTGTAGCGGCCACACAGGAGACGCCGGCTCTCCTAGCCTGCGCACAGATCTGCCTCCACCAGACCGGCCTTAGAGAACGTCGGGGAAACGCCAGGAAGCAGGAGCATATGCCGTTCACACAAAAAGCATCTCCAACAACGACCGCGGCAGCCCCCGCGCCCACCCGGGAAGCCGCGCAGAGCCCGGCGCCGCGGCGCCCTGGGAGGAGGCTCTGCCAAGCGTGCTGACACAGCTGAACAGTCGTAGAACGTCATGAACAGTGAGTGACTTGATAATGCAAATCAGTGACTAGATTGTGGCGCATCTTTATGCATTTACATGTTTTAACAGCCCTGATATTAACGAGTCTTCCTAACAGTACGTAAATGAGGTAGCCCTTGTGCAGCTCGTTCCCGTCGGCCACAAGTAGGCAGTTTCGCAAAGCAAATGCCCATTCCCCGCCCTCTGTCCTCATTCTGTCCCTGCATACCCGGGAGCCACCTGGCAGGAGGCCGGGCGGGGAGCAGGCAGAGGGCGGGGGACGCCCTCCCGGACGCACAGGTGCGGACAGCGCTGGGAGAAACTCAGGAGAGAGGGAGTTTACAGGGCGGCTGAAGGGGCCGAAGGCAGGCACTGTGCTGGTAAATGTGTGACAGCCAGCTCTCAGAAAAAGAAAACGCAAAAAGGCCTTGATTTGTAGTGTTTGCCGATTCTCATGAAGTGGATACTCGCCGTGGCCGACACGGGGGCGGGGCTCCCAGCCTCGCGGGGCGCAGAGTGGGGAGACACGCCCGCCGCCCGCCCTCGCCACGCGCCCCGACGCTCGTCCGGGTCACGGCCCTGCCTAGTTGGCCTCGGCTGCTGCTTCCCACGTGGGGCCACAGCACAGCGCTGCTCTCTGTCCCGGGTACCTCCCCATGCCGGGACCCGGGTCTGTTGTGGTGCGAGCGAACTTTGTCGGGGAGCTGGTGAGAAGTGGCGGAGCCGTGGCTGTGGCTGCACACACGGGGAGCCGCGCCCGGGCGGGGAGAAGGGCGAGCGCCTGCCGCCGGCTCAGCCCGGCGCTCGCCGCCACCCTGCGCCGCGCGGCTCCGTCCACACGCCCTCCCGGCGCTGCCAGGCCTCGCCCTCACCAGCTCCTGGGTGTGTGCACGTGTCACGTGTGCGAGTGCGTGTGCGCGTGCGTGTCAGTGTATGTGTGAGAGTGCGGATGTGTGTGCGAGCGTGTATGTGTATGGATGTGTGTGTGCGTGAGTGTGAATGTGAGTGCGCGTGTGTGTGAGTCTGTGCTTGTTAGTTGAGTGTGTGCTTGTGAGTGCGTGTATGTATATGTATGTGGGAGTTTGTGTGTGGTGTGTGTGTTTATGAGTGTGTACATGTGAGTTGAGTGTGTTTGTGTTTGTATGTATATGTGTGTGCGTGTGTGCTTATGAATGTGTGTGCGAGTTGAGTGTGTGAGTGTGTGAGTGTGTGTATGTGTGTGTGGTGTGAGGGTGTGTATGTGTGTTTGTGAGTGTGAGCGTGTGAGTGTGCGGGTGTCTGAGTGTGTATGAGTGTGGGGTGTGTGCGCACATGCCGGAAGGCTGGCGGGCGAGCTCCCTGCGTGCAGACAGCGGTTGCCAGGTAACGGGAAGGCCGGTGGCGGGAGACTTCCTCGGCAGGCGCGTGTAAATGGGCGCAGCAGGGCGTGGGGCCTCCCTGGAGGAGGAGGACGTGGCCACGTGTGGTGTGAGGGTTCTGAGTCAGAAACGGGGTGTGAAAGCCAAGAAGAAGGGGCAGAGGACATCACAGCTCAAGGCGACCTGAAAGAGGAGCTGGTCCACGCCCCTGTGCCCTCCAAGGGAACCGAGACCCAGGGCTGGGAACCACCCAGGGCAAGGTCACATCACGAGATGGTGTCCCAGCCAGGGCCACCAGAGATGTGGTAGGACCTGGGGCTCCCGCTGAACCCCACTGAATATGACAGAAGTGTCCTATGGCAAAAGTAGCTCCGAAGGCCCAGCGCAGGTTGCACGGTGATGCCGGGCGCGGGTTGCATGGTGACCGGGTTGCACGGTGACCGGGTTGCAGGGTGATGCCGGGCACGGGTTGCATGGTGACCGGGTTGTACAGTGACACCCGGCGCGGGTTTCGCGGGGCGCCCGGCTGTGCCCTGGGCCAGCTCCGGCACTGCCTGCCACCGCGCCCCAGCGGGGGAGGGGCAGCAAGAGGATGAGAAGGAAGGATGCTGACGTCAGGGGGGCCTGAGATTCCGAGGGTCACCGGCTGAACAGATGGCGGGCAGATATTGGTTTTACCTCGCACACGGTTGAGTAAATCATGTTTAAGTCCCTCTCGCCAGCCTGGGGAGCCGACAGATCGCGCGAGTGGAGGCACCTCCACCTCCCGCCCGCATCATCTGCTCCTCCCGGGGTTTTCATTTCCTGCCCGCTCGCGCTTTAGGGCACGGCTGGCTGGTCAGGAAGCCCGCGCGGTGCGGGAGGGGAGGCCGCGGGCAGGCCGGCCCTTTGTGCCACGAGCCCGCGCGGTAGCTGTCAGGCAAAATCACCGTCACAGGCACCGCAGGCGAGCTGCCTGGGCTTGGCCGGCGTTCGTCCCAGGTAGCGAAGGGCTGCGTCTGGCGAGGCTTCGAGGTGGGCGCCTGAGTCTGATCCTGCTCTGCCACGCGCTGGCTTTCGGCTGCCCTCAACTCCTCTGAGCCTCAGTTTCCCTGTGCGTCGGTGAGGGTGCTGGCAGTGGCCTGGCTCTCGGCGTGGGATGGAATGTCTGAATGAATGCCGCCCGTGTGAACGTCGGGGGAGACCGAGGAAGGCGCTGGTGGCAGATGGGGCTGACCGGGGCCCGGCCGGGAGAAACAGAGTCACTCAATCGCTGCTGAGCCCCAGGGACGAGGCCTTGGACGTGGGCGTGAGTGGGCGCGGCGCCGCCCCCAGGAGCTCACCTCTGAGTGGGCGACAGAGAAGGGAGCGAAATGACCGAGCGTGCGGTGGCAGCAAGCGGGGCTCCGGGACCAGACGCCACGTGGCCTGTGTCCTGAGCCCTGCGTGGCCCTGGGCTGGACAGCTCCACGCCCAGCCCTCGTCTGCGGGCCGGCGTCGTGACAGCGGCCGTCTCGGTGGGACGCAGCGAGGATGGAGAAGAACGCAGGCAAGGAAAGTGAGCAGCGCAGCGCCTGACGCGCACACAGACCCGGCACGCGGCAGCGGCCGTTGCTGCCACCAAGTGCTGTGCGAGTGGTGGCCAGGAAGCGGGGCGCGGGGAGACTCGTGCCAGCCCCGGGGGGAGGCCAGGGAGGGCGAGGCCAGGGACGCTCAGCTGAGTCGTGGAGGCCAAGCTGAGAGCCAACCAGGAAAACGCAGATTCATTCAACAAGTAGGTCCTGAGCAAGGACATGGGTAGCAACGAACAATAAGACAGGTCTCTGCCACCTCTTGTCCCGGACCAGAGACCTGCACAGTCTTATCTTTCTGGAAAGGGTCAGTTAGTGAGTATTTCAGGGTTTGCAGTCTGTGTCGTCACTGTCACCCCACTCTGCCCTGCTGTTGTAGTGTGACAGTGGCCATAGGCAGCACAGACATGAATGCGCGTGGCCGTGCTCCCATAGAACTGTAGTTTTGAACATTGAAATCTGAATATCATAGCATTTCCACAGGTCACGAAATATGACGTTTTTTGTTTTTCAATATTTAAAAATGTAAAAAAGCCATCTTACCTCTTGGGCCAGACAAAAACAGGCAGTGGACTGCCCTTGTCCTATGGCCGCAGTCTGCCAAGCCCTGTCCTGGAGCAGCACCAGGCATGGAACCCAGAGAAACATGGCCATTTTGGACAGTGACCAGGGCTGAGACAGTGACTCGGTGGACCGTGATGCAGTCACGAGGAAGAGGGTAGCAATGCAGTTCAGGTGGCTGGGGCAGGCTCTGTGAGGAGGTGACATGTGGCCTGAAATCAGAGTGATCAGATAAACCAAAGTCCGGGCATCGGAAGAACCACAGGAAGTGGGCTCAAAGCCTTGGCATGCCAAGTGCAGAGAGAAGGTCGCTGGGGCCGAGCGCAGGAACTGCAAGGGAGGGGCGGGAATGGGCTGGAGAAGCAAAGGAAGGTCCAGGAAAACGGACAGTGAGGGCTTGAGTTTATCCGAACCTACATGTGACTAATTCAGTATCTGTGGAACTGGCCTTGGTTTGATTGAAGGAAAATATTTGAAAAGGGATTCACTGTGTAAATACCTTTTGTGATTTCTTTCAATGTGTAGGGACAAAAGGAGGGACTGCATTAAAGCGTGCTGGAACGCGGCGTCGGTGCTGGGCATTGTTGTCTGCCCACCCTAATGAGGCCGGCTCCGGCGCGGAGGACGAGGCCGGCGCAGGGCGGCACCCCCGCGCGGAGTGTGCGTGCCTCCTTGCGGGTCACTAATGAGCTGTTTCCCGCTCCTCACCGTGCAAATGCTGGTCTCTGTGCAGCCACAGCCCCGGCCCCCACGTCTGCTAATGGCCGACTTAGCTCCTGGGTAGCATCGCCAAAATAAGGTCAGAAGGCCAAGCCCAAGGAGCGGCGAGGGTTGGCGTTCGATGCTCTTGGCGATAACATGGGTCCTGGTCCCCTTCCCTGGGCGTGCCCCTCGCTGACCTTGCTGCTTGGGCAGGAAAGAGAACTAGATGTCTCAGAGAAAAGTTTTACGATGAAAACATCTGCCAAAAAGGCTTTCCTACATATCCCCAGGTTGAGGAGCGGGGTGCAGGAGGGCTCCATGCTCGGCAGTTGGGCCACATGAAACCGTAGGTTCTGAGAGCTGGGGTGTGGAATCCTACTCCTCCAGGACAGACGTGACGTGTGCACACACGCAAATACAACACGTGTGCACCGCACACGGCACACACACTACATACACACCTCACACCCTACAGACCACACATGCATACATGTGCATGCACACAGGACACACACATCATACACCACACACACAACATACACAACACACACAACACCCCACACACCACACATGCACACACCACACACACCACACACACACCACCCCACATACCACACATGCACACACCACACACACAACACACACAGCACCTCACACACCACACATGCACACACCACACACACAACACACACAGCACCCCACATACCACACATGCACACACCACACACACAACACACACAACACCCCACATACCACACATGCACACACCACACACACAACACACACAACACCCCACATACCACACATGCACACACCACACACACAACACCCCACATACCACACATGCA